TTCTTGAGCTGTGTTAAAATAAAAACGAAACCCTTGATGCTCATCCACCAAAAAACAAAAAGTATAAGAATATTTCCAAAGCAATCATTTTCTATTTGATCTATTGATTAAATCTATCATTGAACAAATAACAATATCTTACTTCTGTTTTGCTTTTTTTTATAGATTAATCCACTTCGACTCAAATGTTTTTCCATACATGCATATCATAGAACAACTGAATTTGATAGTCTAGTGATACCTCTCCTTCGTCGAATGATACATCTGGAAAAGCTCACCTTATCTCTCCGTGTTGGTGGGAAAAATTCCTTCATTGATGGTACTTATTTGAATAATTATATACTCAGTCAAATGCCACGTCTACATACATTTCACTTCGATATTGTTACTGAATATGTCAGGATTAATGAACAACAACCTAAGCCAACACCTGATGATATTCGACGTACATTCACGGAAAGAGGATATCACGTTGATTGTTATATCGACTATGATTTTTATAATTTAGGTCGATGTCATGTTTATTCATGTTCATTCGATATGGAACGTATGTGTTATATAACGCACTGTTTTCCTGGTGGTATGTTCATCAATGTTCGTGTTCTGCGTATGAAGGACGATTTCCATCCATTCGAACATAATTTTTTTGCTCAAATCTCACGTTCATTTCCATTACTCAGTCGTCTGATGGTTTCCAATGTAAACGAACAAAAAGAAAAACATGTAGAAAAATCTTCGATTATTAACTTTTTTCATCTTGTCGAACTTGACTGTTCCAATGTACATATCGACTACGTGGAACAATTTCTATTCGATTCGAATACACGTTTACCTTGTCTGAACAAGATTTATATTTTATATGAACATTTAGTAAATGTGACAGAGAATTTTACAAGAAGTACAACGCATCTAAATTGTGCAAAATTGAAGCATATTATTTGTGATCGAAAAATGGCAATGGTACATTCGAAAGACTATTATCTCTATTTTCCTTTATTGTTGTAAATAATATTCTCATTAAATATAATCATTTAGATTTGACTATGTTCAGGTTGATCAGGTCATCTGATTAGAATCAACTGAGATTTTGAAGTCTGTTCAAATTTAGAAATCAAATATTATATGTACAGCGAATTTCTTTGAAGGAGAAGGTCAAGTGTTGCAAATTTTTTGGGAGTGTAACATATTATTTGTATTTTTATAAGGTTGGAAGGTAGCCAAAAATTCAAAACACTTCATGCATATGGAAAAATTTGTCCAAATTCGATTGTTTGGCCATGATAAATTCATTTTCCAGGAAAATTCATGTCATATTCGGGATCAGTATCAAAAACTGGATTGGATAACATGTATTTCAGAGAAAATAATTTTCTGTCAAAAACTTCCATGTGAAGGAACACCAACAAAATGCATACAAAAAACGCAGTTGAGGGAGAGTAGCAGTAAATTTTTGACAGAATATTATTTTTACTGAAATACATGTTATCCGATCCAGTTTTTGATACTGATTCCGAATATAACAGATTTTCCTGGAAAATGAATTTTTCAGGCCAAACAGTCGAATTTGGACAAATTTTTCCATAGGCATGTATAGCATTTCGAATTTTTGGTTACCTTCCAAATATGTTAAAAATAGAAATAATAGTGCATAGATTGTAGAGAAATAAATTCTCTACAAAATAGCCTAATATAACTTTTAGTTCAACAAAATTTCCTATAGGAAATTTTTTGAAAACTCTCAAAATTCATCTTTTCCAACTCGGGATTTTTTGAAGCCTTTTAAACTATAGAAATTAGAAATGCCATTGTTTAGACAGGAAGAGTACTTCAACTTGTTCAGTTTTATTTTCTCTTTCAAATGAGACTTTGCTCAAAAATATCTATTGTAAAATGATCGAGAAAGAAGCGAAATACGCGCGACCGAGTTTTGGGAAAATCGCAAAAAGCTTGTTTTTTAAAAACTTCATATCTCGACAAGACAGCATTTGTTTGATCTAAAGTTTTGGATGAATAGGTTTCTTGACATGGACTATGGAATCAACATAGTCAAACTTAAATTTTAAATTTGATCATGTTATACCTCTGTAGAAAAATTCTCGATCGTCTCATAGAACCTCTCTTAAATACTATTTATCAATATTAATTTAATCTTGTCGTCATAGATTAACTTCATATAACTACAATTGAAGTTATATGTATTATATTGATGTGTATCACCTAATAAACTACTATAAAAATCTTCCAGCACGACAATATCATTTTTTTTTCACCTAAACTTCTTTCTTGAATAAATATAAACAATGTTATTTAGAGTTACAATTAACTTATACTTCATTCCATAAATAAATGAATCGTTACTATTCATTAGTTAAAACTTTTCTCTCGTTTATCTTTCAGGATATTTGATATTACAAAAAAAACAAATAAGACAAAAAATATTAATAGAAAAATTATTGATTAGACAATTAGTTATATTTTATGAAAAAATAAATTATGAATCAAAATCAATAATAAGTGCTGTTTGTGCATATCTATGACAACTATTACCAATCCAAAAAAAAAATAATACCTGGTAATTGTTGTCGATTTGAATTTGGAATATTTCTAATACGAAAGGTAAATGAAATAGTTTTTTGTTAATTTTTTTCAAAAATGTTATTTTAGTAAATTTTAATAATTCACGCATCAGTAATTCAATTACTGTTGAATTTGAAAATTCATAATATAATTGTATAATAAATTGTGCAGGAAATGGACCTTCATTTATGATACTTATATTTGCTATAATATCAGTATCAACATTACTTATTTGATTAGGAAAAATTATTAATTTTGAATAAGATAAACCATTACTAAATGGAAATAATAGTGGTGCTTTATTATAACTTAAATAACGATATATTCTACCTGATGATTTATTCATTGAATAATCATCGATTGGTAACATTTGACTTGTATTCATTGGTATTCTAAATGGTTGACAACCATTTGGAACAGATAAACCAAATAATATATCAGCAATTCTATCGCCACTTTGTCCAAAATATGATTGTAACGGAACGACTGACTCGTTCTTATTTTATTCTGAGAATGATCAACTAACGCATGCACATGAGCAGCAAAACAAGCGAAGAAAAAAAGAACAAGCGAGAAAGAGAACAAGAAAGAGATAACGTAAAAAGAAAGAGTTATCGATGCGCCTAACAAGCGTCTCGATCACGAGCATAAGGAATGATGATAGATGATATCCGTCACAATGATATCCATAATAATATTGCTAGATTTTCACTAACAATAAATGGTTCTCATATAGAACAATCAGATATAATTAATATAGAAAATCGTTTATTTTATTTAATTAATTCTAATTGTTCATCAGATAATTTTAATGTATTATGATCCGTATCTTCTTTTTCAAAATCTTCATCTAAATCACCAACAAATAAAATTCTATCATTTTCACTAGATAATTCTATAGTATGTGCAAAATCTTCATCACTATTATTTCTTCGAGATGCACTGTATGTATGAATACCATTTACATTATATTAGAGGCGGCGGAGCCCTTAGGCCTGGGGAGGCTCAAGCCTCCGCTAAAAAAAATTTGGGGAGGCTCAGATATTTGAAAAAAAATTTACAGATCTCATCGTGATCTCGTGTTTGATTAGAGAATGCGGTTTGAAAAAGGTGATGCTTGGTTTTTTCTGAAAGGAATATTCATTTTGATGTAGATCGCAGGCATATATGATTGTATTTTTTTTTTTGAAACAGTTTAACACATTACTACTAGCGATTCTTTTATGCAAAGGAATAGTCAACGCACTGAAAACGTTTATGGTGCCGTAGTATTTTTATATTTATCATTAAACGTTTTGTTATCTTGTGTGCTTGACTTTTGAAAGATTTTGAAATGATAAAGAAACAATAATCTTAGAATTTGAAGAAGGTACAGTTGGAAAAATATGACTTATTATTGAGTAAAGTTAGAAGCGGCGGAGCCAATAGGCTTGGAGAGACTTGAGCCTACCCTAAAAAAAGGAACGAGAGGTTTGGGGAGGCTCAGATATTTGTAAAGATTTTACAAATCTCGTCCTGATCTTATATTTAGTAAGTGAAAACTCTTTGAGCGAGATTGCGTTCAGCTAGATGCTAGATAGCGCTATAGACAGCAAGCCATTAGTATCCAAAAAACTCAAGCCTCCCATAAAAAATAAAGAAGAATGTTTGAGGAGACTCAGGATTTGAGAAACTTGTACGAATCTCATCCTGAGTTCATATTGAATATCCCAAAGATATTATCAATATAATTTATTTTGTATATATCTTTGTATACGCAAATGGTAAAATCTTGAATTTTTTAAAATATGTTTCGGTGGTGTCTAACAAAGCGATCCAAAAAAGTCCTGTTGATTTGATCCGATGAATGTTAGAAAGCTGAAAGGAAAGGTGTATAAAAGGTTTCTACTTCAGATTATATTGGAGTTAACAAAGATATTTGAAATAATATCTGTTTTCATTTATCTTTGCACCGAAAATTGATAAAGACTTGAATCGCTTTTAAAGGTGTACCATTAAACTCTCGACAATATCCAGAGAGAAATGTTCTCTCGCCATACTGTAATCGATTTAGAGAGAGAAAAAACTAAAGATGTACGAGACACTGGAATTTTTCACCATAGCAGTAGAATAAACGCTCCAGAAATGGTTTAATAATTATTAAAGTCAACGTTTGTCTATAAAAAAAAAGCACTACTGAGTAAAATGATGCTACCAAAGTAATTTGTTTCCTGTTCATAAGTCGCCATTAAAGAATTAAAAGTGAATAATTAGGCGCTTCATCGTTAAAATAGAAGAGCAAACTCAACTCAGAAGAGTGAAACATTGTAGCATTTTGTAAGTCGTTGATTTAATCCTGTTCAAAATTGATAAAGCTAGTCTAGAAGACATTTTGTTTCTTTAAACAAAAAAAGCATTCAAATTTCCAGAATTTTTGTGCGGAGACTAATGAGAAAAAGACATATTGGAGATGTATTAATTACTTCCAATGTAATGGACAGTAACAGTACTTCATACATCCTTTCTTTCGCTTTTCTAAAAACTTTTCAGAACAACTCAACAGGTCCTTGCGATGCATTTGTCTTAAAGAATTCAGCAACTTCTACGAATCATTCTTTCGAAATATTTCTATAAACCTTCATACTCATTGCATCGTCAAATACAAGAAATTGAAGCAAAGGCAGATGCTTGGTTGAAGGTGAAAGATCACTCTTTCAGATCATATACTTTTTTTAACATTCGTACTCCCAAGCCTATTTTAGACACAACAACTAGTATGCATTATCAATACAGTAATTTTTTAGTTTTCCAATAAGGATGCTAGCTGCAGCAATATTTTTCGCGTGTCTAGGTCGATGAAAAGATAATATTGATATTGCTTATTAAAGATGTTATTCAGTATTGTAACCGGAGAAGTAAAAAATATATTTTTCCTTTATTTTCTTATTTTCTAAGAACAGGGTCTAAAATGACCCTGGTTGGGAGTACAAGTATTAAAGTGACAGACCCGATTTTTCTAGCACCCATTTCTAGGAAAATCGAACCCCGCCAAAATCACCATATTTGTGGAAGGCCTCCTAAGCGATAGGAACTATCTAGATAGCTGAATTTTTTACCAGAATACATACTCATTAAGATCTGCCGATAGCCAGAATTTCAGCTGTCTAACATGATCCATTCATGAAATTTATATACATAGATGGGCTCAAATATTCATTTCGGGCCCTTAAAGATGACCTTTCTTGCAAGCCATTTCTGGATGTCCTAGGCTGATTTTGCCATGAAGTTGTACATCTCAGATCGCTCTTCCAACTTCTTAAGCTCAGCCCTCATACAACCTGGTTTCTTGGGAGAAAACCTCGTCTAAAAATCACAATTTTCATCAAAAACTCATTTTTGCGAGGATTCTACTGATCGAAAAGAAAGGCGTGTAAAGGTGAAATTTTCAGAAGACATACATCTCTATATAGCCTAGCTTGAGTGAAAATTTCAGATCTCTATCGTGTTCCCATTACGAGTTATGAAGCAGCAAGATTACCTAAAATATGAATTTTTGCTCATATTGGATGACTCATAGAAAATGAAGGACGCAATATTTTGACTTGAAATTTATATAGTGTCTATAACTCATAAAGATATGTGTCCACAAAAAATTTCAGCTAAATCCGTCACGCCATTCTCGAGATATGGGCCTGTCAGGACTTCCCTTCGGTGAAGTGCTGATTTTTAGTGCTTTTCATAAAACTGCTATGAAAAATCAACAGTTCAATATTTTTCAAAACGGCTTGCGTCAAAATTCATAAAACTCTTCCCTCTATTAGAATATCTTAAATTGAGCAAAATCTGACGACTTCGTTTGAGCAGCTTCGGTCGTGGCTTATATGGACTGACTCATATAAACACATGATTCAATTTGCTCAACGTTAGAATGTAATAAGAGAACTAATTTGCATTGTATCTTGTACTGTAGACTTGAGCTCTCTCTATCTAAATTCAAGCTCAAAATCAAAATTTCATCTAGATGACAGGTCATTTTCATGATTTCTTTTACATGTTTTTCGAAAATAATTAGTTTTAAAAGGATTTTCTCTTATACATTATTGGAGAAATAGACGTCCCCCAATCTCCTCTTTCGATTAGTGAAAACCACAGGTCTCTAGCTACTTGCGTTCTCGAGTTATTCAAAAAACAGTGGAGGACATTATATTTTGAAACGGGCAATGGTTTTTGTCAAGATCTTTCAATCATTTCTATACTTCTTTTTTTCTTTCAAGATCAACTCAAGAAAATATTTCATATTCAGTTTTTAATTGTTTTTATTAATCAATCGTGTAACATCATTTTCATAGGAACAAGAAATTTTAATAGAGATAATTTATTTCATAATACATATTATTGTTTTATATTGTTATCAAACGATTGAAAATTAATGTTCATTGATGAACATCAATCAGATCGTATATCTTTATATTCATAAGAAAAAATTTCAAATCAAATCGAATTGAATCGAATCGAATATCTATGTTATTGGTGACTTTTTTTTATTATGTAAGCGACATCTGCACAATCTCTTATAATTTGGGATTCAAAACAATCAAGAATTAGATCAGATGAATTTTTCCTATCCGATTTCAGCTCGATTCAAAACATATATAAAACACTTTTTTATTTTCAAACTTTTGAGATATTTTTCTTTTCCATCAAACTCAAAACATATCAATTCCATTTAAATGTTCTTAATTACGAATTCAAACTAAAATATACCCATTTTCTGTCTCATTTCTATATTATATATTAATCAAACAGTTTTCAATGATTGATTTTCATTATAATATTTTATATTTAATTCGATTGATTATACTGTTGAAATTATATGAAAAAGTTATTTTTATGAATGTATATTTAAATGAATTATAATACTTATAAATAAATTTCTCGATTGAAATAGATACATTGATATTCATTATTTATTATTATATTTGATAAAATTGATTTTGAAATGTTTCAATGGAATTTCTTCAAATAATTATCTATGAATTATATTATTGAAAAACTTTAATAATTATT